CGCCCGTAACCACCAGCCGCCACCCCCCATCCCGCCGGCCTTGGCTTCCCCTCTGAGCCGGCACTCCAGCTCACAGTCTCCGCCGCTCTCCACCGCACTTCACCACTCTCCACCACACTCCACTGTTAGAAATAGACTGCAAATACCACTTTTGTATTTGTACTTTTATATCCTAGTTTAGGTTATGAATGTTCTAGTGGGTTGGGGTGTACTCACAAATCCCAACCTCACCCAATTGTGATCCCCCCAATCTCCAATTACCCAATTAGAGATTCCGGAGATCCCAATGGGGATTCCCTCCAATTCCCCCTTCATCTATTCTCTCTCACCTTGCCATGTACTTATAGAGCCTTGGGCTCCTTACCTAATCAATCATTTCAACTCTATTTCTTACATCCACTGCTCCCCACCGCACTCCACCGCACTCCACAGTACTCCACTGCTCTCCACTGCCCTCCTCCACTTTCTCTCCTCCCCTTATCTGCGGCAGCCAGCTGCTGCAGCCGTGGAGATGGCAGACTCTCTGCTCTGCCTGGACGCGGAGGGTCGGGCCGTTGAGTTTGAGGCGTGGCTCGTCGACCTCCGCCGCCAGCTGACCGAGCAACGCCAGGACGGCCACTCCTTGGCCGTCCATGTCAACAGTAATCTCCTTCACCCCGCCCCTCCTGCTGCCCTCCCTGATGCCCCCATGCTTGCTGAGCGTGAGGCTTTTGTAGCCGCTGAGCTTGCCTGCGCTGGCTGGTATTCGTGTGATGCCGTTGCTCAGCTTGCCATTAGTCACGCCCTCCCCTCTGTCTCAAACGCCAAGGAATACTTAGATGCCATCATCGCGCGCTATTCCACCCCCGCCTCAGCCTCAGCAGCAGCAGTAGCAGCCGCCGCCTCAGCAGCAACAGCCACCGTGGGGACCCCCGCCGCCGTGGTGGCCTGGTGGCGCTGGTGGTGGTTGTCGTGGTGGTGCGCCGCGCAGCTCGGTGTTGGGTGGCAGCTCCATTGTGGTCACCTGCCAGTACCAACTTCAGACTGGCCCCTGCCGCGGCACTGTCTGTGACCGTTCCGGTCACACCGCCACCCGCTGCTACCGCTGCCTGGACGACCTCTTTCATCTCTGTTTTGGTCCCACGTCGGACCCTCCAGACTGGTACGCCCTGGCGCGCTGCCGTGTACCTGACTTTGAGTTTGACATGGATCAGATTAGGTCTGCTAAAAATGTCATGTATGCTGATGACTCTAGTGTGACTGGACCCTATTACCCGGTGTTGCCTAGTGTAGGTGTGCCCACTGAGTGCAATCTAGTTTTCCCTGCTGCGTCAGGGGTAGGACCGCCTGCATTGTTTAGCCTCAGCTCCACGCTAGCTCCTCCGCCTGTGGCCACTAGCGCCGCGCTCTCGTTCATGCTAGACTCTGGTGCGTCCGTCTGCTTCTTTCATGACTACACTTCGCTCACACCTCTTGCCGCCCCTACAACTATAGCACTTGCTGACCCCTCCTCAGGTCCAGTAGTTGCCCGTAGCTGCACTACCCTTCCCTGTCCGGCGTTTCCCTCGAGCTCTCTTACAGCTGCACATCCCCTCGTTCTCCAGGAACCTAGTTGGTGTCAACTGTCTTCAGGACCTCGGTCTCACCACTACGTTCCCTGGACACGAGCGGTACACTGTCTGTACCGAGGCCACCACTGGTGCCCGTCTCACGAAGTTCCCCTGGGACCCCATGCCTAGCCAGTTCACACTTAACACCGCGTCCCCCCCCGGTCGGAGGGTGCCCCCAGGTCGTCGCGTCCGCCAAGGTAGCTGCAGCCTGCTCGTGTCGGTCGCTCACCCACTCTTCACTGCTGTGGCACCACCGCCTAGGTCACCCCGCACTCCCGCGTTTGCGTCACATGTCCCATCACGGGTTTGCCTTTGGTCTCCCTGCGTCGCTCCCTGCCGTCCCTCCCTCGCCTGCACCGCAAAACACGCCTTGCATCGAGGGTCGGCTCGGCGGTGCTCCTCACTCCTCTTCGCTCCCCCCTACCACTCCGCCACTCCAGACCCTGCACCTCGACGTTTGGGGCCCAGCCCCCGTCCGTGGGCCGCGTCGAGAGCGCTACTTTCTACTGCTTGTCTACGACTATACGCGCTACACCACTGTGTTTCCCCTGGAGCGGAAGGCCAACGTGCCCGACGTTCTTATCCCGTGGGTCGTAGCTGCACGAGTACACCGCGACCTCCCTGTGCTGCGTCTTCACTACGACCGCGGCGGCGAGTTCGCCTCTGGTCGGCTTCGCCAATTTTGTCGTGCGGAGGGCATTACTTAGTCGTACACCCTGGCGGACTCCCTGCAGTAGAATGGGGTCGCTGAGCAACACATCGGTTTGGTCATGAAGGTGGATCGTACCTCTATGATCCATGCCAGTGCACCTCATTTTCTGTGGCTGTTCGCCGTTCGCTACGCCGCTCACCAGCTTAACGTCTGGCCGCACTCCCAGCTGCTGCAGGTTTCACCGACCCTTCTTTGGACTGGGTTTCCTGGTGATGCGTCTGCGTTCCACGTCTGGGGCTGCCTGAGTTCGTGCCTCTAGTATGGACAAGCTCATTGCCCGCACTGTCTCTTGTGTCTTCCTTGGTTTCCCCTTGGACGCGTCTGATTGGCACTTTTACCATCCGCCGTCTCACCGTTTCCTCGCACCATTACTTTTGACGAGTCTGTCTCCTTCTACGCTTGCTTTCCCCAACGAGGTCTCCCTGTTATCGTGCCCCTGTTCCTGGTCCCCACTCCCTCGGTAGCCCCTGCTCCTCTTCCTCCTCATCATGCCCTTTCTGGTGTCTCTCACGTCACTCCCCTCCAGTTGGTTGTCCCGGTGGAGGAACCGGCTGAATCCGGGGGACCTTCGGCTTTGGTTTCACTGCCCATCTCTGCCCCGGTGTCTACTCCTCCTCTGTCGCCGCAGCAGCCGTTGTCGCCGCAGCAGCAGCAGCAGCAGCAGCAGCAGCCGTCTCCACTATCACAGCCGCCCCAGCAGCCATCATCACCGCCACCGCCGCCGCAGGGGTCCGCGAGCTCTGGGGGTGTGGGCGTTGAGGAGGGTGCTAGTCCTGGGGGTACTGTCGTGGCTTGTTCCGGCGGTCCTGGGGGTGGCACCGGTGATGGAGAGGGTTTCGCTCTGGGGGTGTTCATGTGGAGTGTTCCGGAGATAGCCGTGGTGCAACTGGAGGTTCTGGTGTTGGTGTAGAGCAGCAGCAGCAGCAATCACCGCCGGTGTCTGCTCTTTGCCTCCTCAGTCTTCCCTCCTCTGACCGCCCGCCTGGGCCTCCCCTGCCTATCTATGGTCCTGTTTTTCCTCCGCCAGGCTCGTCTTCGGCTCGTTTTCCCGAACGTTCTCCTCTTGTGTCTCCTCCTGTGTCTCCTGACCCCACGCCTCCGTCCCACTTCTGGTCTCGCCATCCCTCTCGTGCTTGCCCTGTCTCTCTTGTCCAGCGCTCTCACCCTATGTTGCTTCATTCCCACACATCTCGTCCTCCCCTCCATCCATCGCCTCCTCTGTCCTCGATGGTTGTCGCTCCGCCTCCCGTCTGAATTCCTCTGTGCCGTTAGTCCTCTTGTTCCTCGAGTCCTCGCCTCTCTTCTTACCGACGCGTCTATTCCTGTCTCCAGTCTTGTCGCTCTTGTCATTACCATCACTGACTCTGCCTCTACCCACCGCCTTGACTATGCCACCGTTGTGGTCTCTGACCCTACCCATGCTCCGTCCGTCCCGGAGGACCGGCAGTACGAGCTTGCTCTCCTGACCGAGGCCGCGCCTCATCTTTGCTCCATGCTTCTAGTCTCTGAGGGTGACCCAGACGCCTTTGACATCCCGACCCCTCGCACTTACGCTGAGGCGACCTTGGGTCCCTAAGACTCTCAGTGGATAGGTGCCATGGACGTGAAGATGGCATCTTAGAGATCCAGCGGCACTTACGTCGACGCAGTTCCCCCACCTGGGATGGACATAGTCGATGGCTGGTGACTCTTCAAGGTGAAGTGTCCTCCTAGAGAGCCGCCGGTATTCAAGGCGTGCTACATTGCAAGAGGCTTCAGTTGTTAGGATTAAGGACAGAGTCTAGGTGAACTTAGGAGCTAGAATTACTCAAAATATAAATCCGAAATTCTGGACAGAAAAGTCGTCTTCACAAGAAACGACGTCGACGAAAACCTAGCCGTTGGAATGTCGCGAAACTTGGATATGTTGTAGCTCTTTATCTCAGCTACCGTTCCCAATTTGAATCATGTTGATTGATGAAGTATTCGCGACGCTATGGCTTTCGACGCATTAGGGGGTAAGCTGTAGGAGGAGAACTTAACTCAATCTCAAGAGTTCAATCAAAGTTCAAGAATCTCACAAGGAATTAGAAGGAGCAAGAGAAAGGTTGGGATAGGAAGAGAGGGATGAGAGGGAAGGTCCCAAGAGAGTCCCCAACCAAGGAAACCCCATAAGCACAAAGATTCCCTCCCTATAGGAACCCCAACTGTCCCTTCCCAACCAATCCATCCAAGTTGGCCACCCTTGCCAACCTAGCTTGGTTGTTCCCAACCAATTTGCAGCTGTTACAGTAGAGTGACAAGTTTCCCCAACCCCAAAGGTCCCAACTCCATATAAAGTCACCCCACAACTTCACTTAGTAACCGCCGCAATTGTAACGCAAGCTCATGAACTTTGAATCTTCATAGCTTTCGCGTTCTTGCTCCGATTGAAGGGATTCTCGTTGCGTCGGAAAGATCTTCTCAAGATCTATCATCACAAAAAACCTGCTCAAACAAAATAACACAAAACACATTCCCAAACTCCAGAACACATCACACACAAATTCTTGCACACGTTCAAACCACACATGCAAGTTGAAAAATATGGGATGGGAGGCAGACAGAATGTGATAGCATATGATGACATCACACAACAATCTCCCCCTCTGGCTGCCAACCATCATCCACCATACCAACATCTCAAGCATGCATACTCAATGCACACTCATCCCAGCAAGCTTCATGCCCTTCCAATGATCCGCCTCCGCCAGACGCTTGGTGAAAATATCTGCTGCCTGCTGATGGGTCTTCACTATCTCCAGCCGCACCTCCTTATTGAGGAGTCTCCTCACCCAATGCCACTTAGGCCTTATGTGTTTTGTCAGCCCATGCAGACAAGCATTCTTGGCGAGCTTCACAGCAGACTCATTGTCACAGAACACAACTGTCGGCTCCTCCTGACCAACTCCCAACTCCTCCAACAAGCGCCTCAGCCACACCACTTCCTTGGCCCCATGGTGTAAGGCCATGTACTCAGTCTCACATGAGGACAATCCCACCTCATTCTGCTTCTTGCTGCGCCAGCTCACAGCACCACCTCCTAGCAAGCACACATATCCCCCAATGCTGGTGCCATCCGCTTTCACTGAGTTGAAGCTAGCGTCAGTACCTTGGGTTGAGGAATTGCAGCCCAATAGCATAATGCAATCTCATCTTCCTCAATCTGCTCAACCACACTCCCAGCCTGCACCACATTCGGCTTGCCTCTTCCCCCATAGGTCAGCCTCACTGGAGGGCGCACATCCCTCCTAGGTCGCTCAGGCGGGTGTGGAACTCGAGGTGGAGACTCATGCTGCTGCTGCTGCTGCTGCTCTACTTCAGCTGCTCCCCCTTCCTCAGTCACCCCAGACATCTCCTCCTCTGACACTGCAACCTCCACCTGTCTTGAAGGCTGCTGCACCTCATCTACCTCCACAATGAGCGGTGTAGATGGAAGCTTCTGTTGCTGCTGCTTCCATTCCTTGTAGTACAGGGACTCAAGAAACTTCACATCCCTTGACACTGTCAGCTTCTGGGTGGTCAAGTCCCATAGCAGCCACGCTTTGTGATCCTTTGCAATCCCCAAGTGCACACCCCATCTTCCAGAAGCCTCCAACTTCCCTCTTTTCTCCTTAGGCACATGAAACACTACCATGCACCCAAATGCCCTCAGCATGTTCACAGCTGGAGCACTCCCATACCACTTGACATATGGGATCCACTCCTTATCCCCAACTGTAGCCAGCACCCTATTCTTCACAAGGGCGACCTGCCTCAATGCAGACACCCAAAACGGATCAGGCAGCCCTGCACGCCCAAGGAGAGTGCGTGCCCCCTCCTGCAGGGTCCTGTTGAACCTCTCAGCCACGCCATTCTGCTGCGGGTTGTAGGGCACTGTCAGTTGATGCTGGATCCCCTTCCTCTTCAACTCCCCCTCAAAATCAGCTCCAATGAACTCCCCACCATTGTCACTGCGGATCACCTTCACCTTGTGTCCGCATTCCCTCTGAGCTCTAGGCATCCACTCCTTAAGGACAGCCGCTGCCACCTCCCCCTTGCTGTTCAAAGGGTAAACCCACACTGCCCGAGTGTGGTCATCCACAATTGTCAAGAAATAGCGGCTGCCTGAGAGGGAAGGGGCTCTTGTGGGCCCCACCACATCCATGTGCACAAGTGCAAGTGGGGTCTTGGCTGGTCCTGTAGTGCTGTTGAAGGGGAACTTGGAGAACTTGGTCTCCAAGCATGTAGGGCAGCTCCCAATCTCCTTCAATCCCCCCTTTACCTCCAATCCTTTCAGGCTCCCATCCTTCACCAACTTCTGCAGCATAGGGAAGTTCACATGACGCAGCCTCTCATGCCATGTCTCCCAATCGGCCTCTCCACTCCTTGATGAAGCCTTAGCCCATGCCGCACTCGCATCCACACCAGCAAGCACCTCACCATGTGTCTGCTGCTGCTGCACTTTCTTGACTGCTTCCAGGACCCCATCAGTTGGTGCAGTTGCATCTCTTCCTGCTGTTGCCTTTGCCGCTGCTGCCGTTGCTGCTGTTGGAGTCTTCCCATTCCAAGGGATGATGGGCAGCTGCCACAGGTCCTTGATGCAGCTGGTCTCCTCTTCCAGACTCCACAGCACCTTCTTCCCAAGCTTAGCACGGCAGCTGGTTGGTCCAAAGGTCACTTCGGCCTTACTCTTCTGCAGTCGCCGCACAGAGAGAAGGTTAGCAGACAAACCTTCAACTAGCAGAACATTCCCAAGCCCCACAAGCTCCCCATTAGCTCCCTTAACCTTGGCATTTCCAACACCAATCACGGGGAGCAAAGCACCTGACGCTGCTGCCACATACTTAATCTTCCCAGGGGGTTTTACCTCATCAAGCAAATCTGCCCGTGGGGTCATGTGACTGGTGCAACCTGAATCAATCACCCAGTGCGTGAGAGGGTGCATCACAACCTTTCCCACAGATCCCACATCACCCTCATGCCCATGCACATCCTCAACCATGAGATACATCCCAGGATAGGCGTTACCTTGTGCACCTTCACCTTGTGCACCTGAGCCTTGCACAGCGCCACCTTGTGCGCGTTCACCACTTGGCGGCTTCATGCCTGGAGGTGACCATCCCTCCAGCCTGCTGAAGCACTTGAACCAAGGATGCCCGACCTTCTTGCAGTACCAGCAGGTGCCCTCCATTCTGGTACTCCCCCTGCCACTGGAGCTCCCATGCCCCTCATTATAGTCACCTCGGCCTCTACCTCTGCCAAAGCTTCTCCCACGGCCTCGGCCTCTCCAACCCCCTCTTCCTCTGCTGCGCCCTGCAGCTCCATACCCCTCAGCAGTCTTAGTGGCAGCACCGCCTCCCACATGGCGTCTGCGGAAGTCCTCCTGCAGAATCTGCTGCCTTAGCCACTCAGGTGTCCATTGATCTTGCTGAGAGTTGAGGGTGGGGATGAGGTTGTCCCAAGAGTTGTCCAACACCGAGATGATCTTGGTGCACTGCTGCAGCTGAGATACACTGCTGCCCGCTGCTGCCATCCTTGCATAGGTGTCCTTGATCTTGTCAAGGACCGGCTTCACATCGTCCCCTGGTCGCATGGAGATGGCAGCAAGTTCCTTCTCGAGCACGATCACCATCGGGAGAGTGTTGGGCTGAACCACATCACGTAGTAGTTTCCACGCCCTTGGACCCGAATCATCCGCTTCCACAAGATCCTTGATGTGCTCGAACATCTCCTTGTTGACCGATTGAAGAATGAGGTCGAAAAGCACCGCGCTTTTCTCAATCCACCGTTCACGTGCTTCGCCTTCTTCCGGCATCTTCTCTTCCCCAACAGCAATCTTCAGGAGCTTGTAGCGTTTGAAGGCACTCCTCATCCGTCCGCTCCATTCCTCATAGTTGGAGCCATCCAAAGCTTCAACTTTTGATGGCGGCGGCTCACTTGTCTTCTCAGCTACAGCTCCTCTTCCATTAGCATCTCCTCCTCTCTCATTCATCTTCTCCTTGAGAAATGACGAATTTCAGCTCCCCTTTGCTGTCCACACTCAGCTCCCTCGATATTTTCACAAGTGTCGGCGTCCACGAAATTTCGGCAGAGTTTCCCCTTAGCGGAAGACACATCCAACCTTTAGAACACCACTTAGGCACACCCACAGGCCATGGTGGGTCTAGAAGGGTCTTCACACTTCTGTAGACTCCTCTCAATGTCCTTAATATCGCTCTGATACCACTTGTTAGGATTAAGGACAGAGTCTAGGTGAACTTAGGAGCTAGAATTACTCAAAATATAAATCCGAAATTCTGGACAGAAAAGTCGTCTTCACAAGAAACGACGTCGACAAAACACTAGCCGTTGGAATGTCGCGAAACTTGGATATGTTGTAGCTCTTGATCTCAGCTACCGTTCCCAATTTGAATCACGTTGATTGATGAAGTATTCGCGACGCTATGGCTTTCGACGCACTAGGGGGTAAGCTGTAGGAGGAGAACTTAACTCAATCTCAAGAGTTCAATCAAAGTTCAAGAATCTCACAAGGAATTTAGAAGGAGCAAGAGAAAGGTTGGGATAGGAAGAGAGGGATGAGAGGGAAGGTCCCAAGAGAGTCCCCAACCAAGGAAACCCCATAAGCACAAAGATTCCCTCCCTATAGGAACCCCAACTTTGACATTTGTCCCTTCCCAACCAATCCATCCAAGTTGGCCACCCTTGCCAACCTAGCTTGGTTGTTCCCAACCAATTTGCAGCTGTTACAGTAGAGTGACAAGTTTCCCCAACCCCAAAGGTCCCAACTCCATATAAAGTCACCCCACAACTTCACTTAGTAACCGCCGCAATTGTAACGCAAGCTCATGAACTTTGAATCTTCATAGCTTTCGCGTTCTTGCTCCGATTGAAGCGATTCTTGTTGCGTCGGAAAGATCTTCTCAAGATCTATTATCACAAATACCTGCTCAGACAGAATAACACAAAACACATTCCCAAACTCCAGAACACACCACACACAAATGCTTGCACATTCAAACCACACATGCAAGTTGAAAAAACATGGGATGGGAGGCAGACAGAATGTGATAGCATATGATGACATCACACAACATCAGTCAGTATGAGGGTGTTGACTTCTTCCACACCTTTGCCCGGACCCTGTTGATGACCACTCTTCGGGCGCTGCTACACGTAGCAGCACAGTGCACTCTCTCGACAACGTTTCTTCAGGGCAGTCTTCACGAGCAAGTCTACCTGCGTCGCCTGCCAGGATTCACCGACACGTTCGCCCCTGGGACCTAGTGGCTCCTCTGGCGCCCGGTTTACGGCCTGCAGCGGGCGCTTCGAGAGTGGCACGAAACTCTTTGTGCTTCGTCCTCTGCATACCCTTCGCTCGTTGTTCGTTCCGGCTAGACACCATTCTACATCCTTGTCTACGTAGACGACCTGGTCTTCGCCACTGCAGACAAAGATGCACTGGCCTTTGTGAAGGCGGAGTTGCTGAGGAGACACACCTGCACTGACCTAGGAGAGCTGCGCTGCTACCTTGGCTTGCAGATCTCCAAGGACAGAGTAGCACGCACCATCACTTTCACACAGTCACACTTGGTGCATGAGGTCCTTCAGAGGTTCGGTCTTCAGTTCTCGTCCGCACAGCCCACTCCTCTGCTAGTAGATTACAGGCTCTCTGCTCCAGTCCCTAAGGAGTCAGTAGAGCCTAGTGGTCCGTACGCAAAGCTGGTAGGTTGCTTCATGTACCTGATGACTTGCACTCATCCAGATCTCGCATACCCTTTCAGCATATTGGCTCACTTTGTGGCGACAGGCAGACACCGACCGCAGCATTGGTCGGCTGCTAAGAGGGTTTCGCGTTATCTAGAAAGTACATCAGGCATGAGACTAGTGCTAGGAGGACGCAGGGCAGTGGTCCTCACTGGACATACAGACGCTTCTAGGGAAATGGAGAAGGGAAGGGAAAGGGGGCGAAGGGGGGAGCGCACAAAGAGGGAAGAAAGACTTTCAAGGGGAAATTCTATTCGTGTGGCCAGCCAGGGCATGTCACTTTCCATTGCCCGGAGCGTAAGGACAAGGAAGCACAGAAGGGGCAAGGGAGTGGGGGTGCCAATGGAGGTGGTGGCAACAACAAGGAAGGAAGCAGTTCGGGGGGCGGAGGGTAGTCCGTCTATGCGATGGTGGAGCCACTCCTGGCGCAGCACCCTTTGATCTTACTGGATCCGGAGGTCAAGGAAGGCTTGCAGGCTGTTGCAGCTGCTATGAATACCAACCCGAGTGTTGTGCTTTTGGACAGTGGTTGTTCCCACTACTTGATGGGCGATTGGGTGGCATTAGTGGAGCTGATCAGTGATAGTTCCATCAGTCAAATTCGCGGGTTCAACGGTGCAATACAGCCAGTACAAGGGAGGGGCACCATTGCTCTCCTGGGAGAGGGGGGCAAACGTGTCTTGGTGCCAGACGTGCTGTATGTGCTAGGGGTGCATGCTAGCCTTCTCTCCTCAAGGCAACTGCGGGATACCAGACTTCAGCTGTTGGATACACGGGAGCGCACACTCATACGTGCACCTGATGGCTCTCTTCTGGGGTGTGCGGAATTCAAGGGGCGAGTGCTGTGTACCGACTTCTAGCCGTGGCCTACTGAGCGCGCTGTGGGCGAGATTGTGGCACTTCATGCGTTGGCCTCTTGCATGCAGTCGTCGGCTGACATGTGGCACGCTCGCACACGTTGGTGTTGACACGACTCGGCGTACTGCAGTCAGTGACGGGCTTGGAGCTCATATAGAGTACAACACCTTAGGTTATATTCCCTTGTAACCCATCATTCTAGTCAATTTTCTTACTCTGAGAGTAAGGCGCTCAAGTGGACAACATTTCTGAGGACTCGGAGGCTGCACCGGGACATTGTTGATGTGGACACCATCTATCGTGCTGTACGTGTTGTAGTGTCCTTTGACATGCATGGCACGTTTCTGCTAAATGGTTATCTCTTTGATTGATTTTTAATCAATGTGCAACCTTATTCTCCTGCAGCAAAGTATAATTGGAGCAAGCGATAAGGACAAAGTTTTTCAAAGTATGCAGAAATAATGCTCTAGGAAACATAGCCCTTAAACAGTTTAAAATAACCACAAATATTAAGTTTCATGTATAGACAAACATATTTGAATTATAGTGTATACAATTGGATAAGTTGAAAGCTATGATTTGCGTGGGCGATCTCGCCTACTATTCGGTGACGAAGAAATCACTACCGAAAATGGGTCCCTGACTTTTTCGATGGCGGGAAGGGGATCAGAGGTAGAACGAGGGTAGTGGGGGGGAGGTTGGGGAGGGAGGGATTGGCTTGATTTAAAGCACGGCCGGCAGGTTGCATATTGGCACCGTTGAGGTAGGTAGGGCGGCAAACAATGATTTGCTAACGAAAAGAAAGTGAGGCGAAATGCTCAAGCGAGTGGTGGGCTTCGCCGAGCGAGCTTCGGTTTAACGGAAGCAAGCAACTTCACAACTTGGCAAGCACCACCGCTTAGGTCACCCTGCACTCCCGCGTCCTAGGCACATGTCCCAGCACGGTCTTGTCACAGGTCTTCTTGCGTCGCTCCCAGCCCTACCTGTGTTAGTAGCGCCCCTGTGCACCTCTTGTGTTAAGGGCTGGCAGCGCACCGCCCCTCACTCCTCCTCATTTCCTCCTACCACAGCGTTGCTACATACACTGCACATGGACGTCTGGGGCCCTGCCCCGGTCCATGGTCTTAGTCGGGAGCGCCACTTTCTAGTCGTCGTGGACGACTTCTCGCGTTTCACGACGGTGTTCCTGCTGGAGTGGAAGGCCGATGTGCCTACCGTTCTCAACCCATGTCTGCTAGCTGTTCACACCCAGCACCGCCTGCTCGTAGTTCGCTTACACTCTGACCGTGGTGGCAAGATTACCTCTGTCCGACAAGGACAGTTCTGTAGTGCGGAGGGCATCCGCCAGACACACATACTGCCGGAC